AGGGTTTCTCAAAAGATACACTGGCCACACAAAAATACACTTGTACGATAGTTTGCAGGTTCTGCATGCATCACATGACTTTTTCAGTGTATCCTGTAAGGGGTCCTGTTCGAAACCAGGTGATTTCAAACCGCCTGGACCGCCAGTTGCTCTTTTTCCCGGAGAAGGAGTGAATAGGAAATCCGGAAAGGAACGGGCTCTCTTGTCGCTGAGGCTTGCCAGCTCTTGAAAAGGAGAAGCTCTGAGTGATAAAGTAGATATGAATGAGATAGAAAGGGACACAATGATTTCTCATGTCACTCACTTTTTGTTTTTTTTGGAATGCTATTGTTCTGTCATTTAGAAGTTATCATTTCCCTTGCTTTGATTTGTCATTCCACGCTTGCATGGTTTCATAATTCCCGCCGGGCCGACCAAAAAAAAGGGGTCTTTCTTCAACCGGCTAGTTCCTGCCCTGTGTCAGGGCAGAGATTTTGCGGTTGAGAACAGAAAGAAAGACAGGTTCGTGTTCCGCATCAAAGTGAAACCAACAGGACTTTGCTTGAACGCTCGTGGTTTGAACATGTTGGCCCCGCCCTGCCTGCTAAAGGTCCTTCACTGGTTCTCTTGTTTCCCGCTTGGGAGTTCTGGTAAGTTGCTCAGATACGAAACGGCGGATCAAACGGATCGAGCCCAAGCCAGCGGCGAAGCGAGGCAAGCGGAGGAGGAAGAAGAAGAGCTCCCGGAGTTTGACTTTGAGAAGGACTGAGCTTCCCATTCCCCGAAGGGGAAACTGCAGGGTTGCTAGCAACACAAGTTTTAGAACAAGACCTGGGCCCCTTCGGGAAACTCAGAGGATCCTTATCTTGTGGGATTCTGCAGCATTTCTGGTTTGTGCACCATAGCCACTAAACGAGGGGGTTTTGTCCGAGAGGTATGGATCTTTGGGGTCATCCCACCGGGCCGCTCCGATGGCTTCCGAGCGAGCTTCCGAAGTTGAACGGTTGGCAAAGCCCAACTTGGCAACTTTTGTGAGAGAAAGATGGCGGTTTTCGAATGCTCTTGAACTTCTCTTTGACTTGACCCCCTTTCGAACAAAACAGGCTTGCCTTCATACCCTTCAACCAAGGCTTCGGATTTGGAATTCCCTTGCCGCAATCTACCATGATTGTTCGGTGACTTACTTGCTGTTTATGCCCGGTTTGAGCCAGGCATCTTCCCACTACGAAAGTCAGGGACACTACAAAGCACCCTCCAAAGACTGCCCAAACGGTTGTGTGTTTTTCTTTGCGCTCATCAGGTTTATCAACTTTCCTGCTGTTGGAAGGTCAGGCCCCTGGTACAAAATGTAGCTCCCTGCCAAGCTTGCCCTTCAAGTTTCTGGATCCTTTGCACGGCGCCGGGGAACATGACTGGCTCAAATGACCCCAGGTTGATTCTGGTGCGAGGCGGTTGGGTTCCCGGAAACGCTTCGGATGTCAGCTTCAGGACTGGAAGGACAAATCCGTGACGATGCTCAACCTCAAGGCGGGGAGCAAGGCATGGGCGGCGAGCAGTCCCCCAAAGAGCTTCCCAAAAGGTCAGGGGTTGATTCACCTCTAATCTGGTTGGGTCCTTGGGGTGTGGTTGGGTGGTTCCGGAAGTTTGGGCTTCCAGAACCCTAGTTGATTTTGCCTTTTTGAGTGCACGCAACATTTTAGAGGAGAGCAGCCTCTGGCGAGCACATCCCGTGAAAGTCTTCGGATGGAGCAGCAGGGCTCTACGAACCTGGGGCCCGGCAAGGCCCGTGGACCACAGCCTAAGGGACATTCTGGAACCATGCGGGTTGATGTGGGTTGAAGGATACTTTGTGCGCTAAAAGCGCATTTGGACCGGCCTTTGTGAGTGCAGCAACCCTCTTGCAGGGGACAGGGGGTCCCTAGTTGACGATCGCACCCGGATGGCCCGTTCAAAAACGGGCCAAGGAGAAACACAACCAATCCCGGTGCATCCCAGACGCTGGAAGCGCACAAGGCTTCGTTGAACCCTTTTTTGAAGGTTTTGAAGGCTTCTCATGGGTGTTCTTTGAGGTTGCAAGGACTACCATTTTGTCTGGGCCCCTGATTGTCAATGCAATGCGCAGGGAACTGGGTCCCGGGTCTTGGCCCTTGACCCTTCCGGGTATGTAACCAGGCAGGTTTTGCATGATGGTTCCCCCTGGTTGCTTCTTATACTGGCTGGGTACTGAGAAGGCAAATGGAATCACTGGAGCAGGAGATCCCAATTTTGAGCCAGACCCATTCCAGGTGGTGACAGGACCGGAACTAGAGCAGGACACTTCAAGCCCAAGCACCGATGCTCTAATGTCAATGTCTTGGGAAAACCTTGATAATTATGACCGTGGCTGGTAAATCGGTGTTCGCCGCCCCAGAATGGCCGGTGCCCTTCCGGTTTTCCTTGAAACAAACACGCTGAAACGGGTGCCCTGAACAAAAAGATACCCAAATGGAACTCTGGAAAGCCGGGTGAAGGGCAAGGGCAAGTCCCAACCAATTCCTTTTGGTTTTGGGCCCCGGGCCCCGGCCAATGCCGACGATCGACCCTAGCCGCCCGACTCGGCGCGAGGGAGCCAAAGATCTGAATGGGCTGATGGGCGTTGTCAAAGAGCTGCTCGGCGCGGACCAGTGTTTCCTTTTGGCTTTTTGTTTGTTTAAATCGAGTTTTCCTTTGGTGGAAGTGGCGGGGGGGTTGGGTTTTCGGGGGTGGTTTTTTTGGGGGCTACGCAAGCTATCCTCGGCGGCCGGCCGTTTCGGACGCCTGTCTGTTCCAGCGAAAAGGCAATGCCCACGGCCCGGCCTAGATGTGAATGGACGTTGGTTTCAGACGTACATTCTGGTGACTGAAAGCTGTTTGACAGAAGGTAGAGGCTGCAGGGCCTTCATTCAGTCTCTGGAAGTGTTTGCTTTTCCACGACAAGCCTGAAGCCACCCCAGAAAAGGCTCTCGGAACCTTGATAAGAAGGGCACTGGCAATTCGGGGGCCCGGGGTCTCCAATCGTGTTTTGGCGGCACTTTTTGTCAAGTGAGAAACATGAGCTCCCAGCTACCTCAAATTAAGAACGTGTAGATCTGTAAAGGAGTCCCTTCTTTTCACCCTCACAGGGAGAAAGTAGACGTGGTTCCTTTTTTTTAAAGCTCAGTTTGAAGGGAAACCAACGGAACGCCCCCCTGTGTTCGGGGAACCGTTAGCCCCTTCCCTTGGTGTGGTCCATGATTTTTTCCGTTTGGTGAGCATTTGACGTGGAGGATGCGGGGACCTTGAACAGTTGACCAAAACTCGGCAAATCGGCTGGGGCAGGCCATTTTCTGGTATATATCAAAGAGGTATCCCCTTTGAAGTATTAACAGAGTTGTGCGGATGACCACTTTGGCGTCGCAGAAAGGACGATTCCCAGGTGAACGAAGATTGCGCAATTTCCTTTGCCAAGGGATGCTTTAACCTCAATGGGCAAGGCATGTCTTAATTTGGCTTGCAATTCAATGGTTGTCGGGTTCCGAGGGTAGACCCAAAAAGTAGCCCTTGCGATTGAGAAGCACGCCTGTTTGACAACACATGATTGCATGGAGCAGCGTGTTTTGTTGTTTTTGCACTTTCCCAACCCCATGGCACAAGTTTAATCAGTTGAATCTCCAGTTGCTCTGATTGACATGTCTCCGTCGTTTTGAGGCTCACCAAGGGCTGTAGTGTATTATTAGTGTTTTTTTTGCAAGAGCTAAACAACAAAATCTCTAGATCACTCGAGTTCCAGGGCCATGGGATCCTGTTCAAGTCGTCCAGATGGCTCTTGCTTGCGCCAAGAGCCTGCACCCATGTGGGTGCTGAAAGTTGAGCACGTTCTTGAAATGACAGGCAGATTTCGGGCGCACCAAAGCTTGAAGGCTGAAGGCCTTCTTGAGAAGTGGAGTCCGAAGATGTTTACGATGTTTGTCTCACACCAGTGGCTTGGCCACGACCATCCTGATCCATTTGCGGTTCAGCTGAAGGTGTTGCAAGGGGTCTTGAGCAAGCTGATAAGAAGAGAACTCAAGATCCAGAGCGATGTGGTGTCAGAATATCACGGTTGCACACCAACTGAAGCAGAGCTTTGCCGAATACAGAGGGCTTACATGTGGCTGGACTACTTCTGCGTCCCCCAGGCGATAGATGGGCAGAGCACGCTTTCCATTGCGGAAGAACAGAAGCTGTATGTTAAGACAATTCCCAGCTACGTGGATCATTGCAACGTGTTCGTTGCTTTGGTGCCTACACACACGCATAGCGAGACAGCGTCAGACTGCAATTTCCACAGCTGGCTTGACAGGGGGTGGTGTCGAACGGAACTTTGGTGCCACTTTTTGTCGTCTACATGCTCAACGGTTCCTCTTATCGTGGTGAAGGATCATGATTTTGCACGGTTCGCAGCCCCTCTGTGGCACCGATACCCAGTGCACTTGGGCAACTTCACCATTGATAATGATCGTGCATTGTGTAGCAATGTCATTCGGACAGTTTTGACCAAACATCTAGCCCAGCTGAGTCAGGCTAAGAGCAAGACTGCCTATCGACTTTTGCTTTCATTCTTCGAAGAAGTTTCCGGCCTTCCCAGAAAGCGTCGAAGCGTCGAAAAGTTTCTGGTAGACTTTTCATTTTCCAAGCCCTTGGCAGAGCATCACGGTCTTGGCCCGGTGGCCTGTGCTGCTCTCTCGGGAGACGCTGAGCTTGTGCGCAGCCTTGTGGTTGCCAAGGCTTCTCTCCAGACCCATGCACCAGGTACGTTGATCCAGCCACTACCCGATCTGACCCCGTTGCATTTGGCCGTATGGCTCCGAAGCCACGACCTCCAGGTGGTGCAGACGCTCTTAGCGCTGCACGCGGATCCCAACAGCTCCACTGTGAAGATTGGTCCCCCGCTGGGCCTGTGCCACACGGTGGGCGCCGTGGATCTCCTGGTTCAGCACAGCGCAGGAGTAAATTTCCAGGGAAAGGAGCTCGCGCGCTATCTGCCCATCCACTTTATGGCCGCGAGCGGTGCTCCCTGCCAAGTTCTGACCAGGCTCTTGGAGCTTCGGGCAGACGTCCATGGTGGAAGGGGCGGGCTATCAAGTGCATCACCTTTGCACAATCTTGCATATGGAGTTGACTACAGGGACGTTTTCACTTCAGCCCAGCTGTTGCTGAAGAGCAGAGCAGACATCAACCAAATTTGCCAGCCCGAGGGCATGATGAGGAGCTTTGAGTTGGCGGCCAGAGCTTACGCCCATTGCGGACAGACTAGCAATCTGATTCACGCTTTTAGGAATATCAGCACCACGCCTTTGGGTTGGTGTGCGATCTTTGGCAACGAGGACCTCTTGATTATCTTGCTTTCTGCACGGGCAGACCCGCTGATCAGAAACAACAGGGGTCTCCGACCCATTGACATAGCCAGGTCTGAGAAAATCCGTAGAGTTCTGCAAGACCCTCTGCCACATATTTACAGCCTGGAGCATAGCTCCGGCTTGATTGCCGAATGTCTTTGAGCAGACGCTGGGATCTTTGCTGGAAACCAGCAAATAGGTCTCGGTTTCGAACACATGCGTGACGCACTTGTCTGATTCGACGTTAAACAGTCGTGCTGCTTGGCTAAGACACACGACGCCTTTAATCCTTCTTTGATTCTTTGCTCTTTTCCGCAAGCAATTCCATTGTGCTTCGAAGCTTTTCCAAAACCTCTTTGGGCAAGTGGACCCGCTGATGGGGTTTTTGATTCTTGCAAGGAGGCTAGGGACTTGTGGGCCAACTTTTTGGCTCGATGGGGTAGAGCTCTCATCCACGCTGGACAGGTAGGTGTGTGTTATTTTTTTCTGCGTGAATTAGATGCTTGATCTTTCCAGTTTCCAGTTTTCCACCCTGCCATGAGCACAAAGTGCCAGGAAGGTAGCTTGGATAACCAGGTATGTGCTTATCCCGAAATAAGCAGCCCTTGCGAGCCCACTCTAGAACCCACTTAGGGTACTCTCCCTTCTCGAGACGAAGCAAAGGTACAACGAGGACACCAAGCGCTTCCTGGTGCTGGTGGACGCCGGGCCCCGGCATGCGGAATGTGCGCGGATGGAAGCGACCTTTGAGCCTGGAAGCTACCCCTCAAGTCTTTTTTCGGGTAAGACGGGGGGTGTGAAACCTGGGTTGTGAGAAGAGAGAGCCCACGAACATATCCGTAACATGGGAACAGGAAGGTCCATAGATCCCCCAACATGGGGAGTTCCCTCACAAGCAGGCACGCCGGAAGTTTTTGAACGTGGCTCGACCTCGGGCCCTCTTTATGGGGAAGCAAACAAGCAAAAGTAGCCCCGGCACCTGGCCATCGATTCCAAGGCATCCATGATGGCATCCCAGCCAGAAGCAACCCACCATCAGCTGGTTTCTGAAGTTCCCTACATGCTTGGTCTGAAGGGTTCTCATCAAACTGGCTTGCCCAGTGCCAGTGCAGTCATATTTTTCGGTTTGCCCACATGGCTGCGAATTTACATTTTCGGGGTCAAGCCTTCGGCAACATTCGCCCCTTGGAGCCCTTGCCACAAGAAGCCAGGCTTGGCTGCTGACTTACCCTTGCTGGGGATTCTCGTGGATCGATATGCGATGATCAGGTTTTATGCGAGGATCAGGTTTTCGTTTCGGGGCAAATCCAAAGGAGCCGGCTTGACGTTCGGAGTGTGCTTGCCCAGAGGGGGGGGATTGTATACATATATACAAGGCAAGCATCATGAATTTTAGGGTGTTTGTGCCAACAATAGGGCTTTGTTTGGGGGGGGATTTCTTTGAGGGGAAGTTGCAGGTGGCGCCTTTGCTTTCGCTAGGGCAAGGGCGAGAAGAGCATTAAGATGGAGAACATCTTCAAGGCGGCCGCCCGTTTCACCCCCCCATCTGAAACATGGCATACCCGTGTTGCATGGGATTCATCTTTTTGGTTGGTGTTTAAAGGGAAGGCCGAACCGAGACTGATGCGTGCCTGCCGGAAATTTGATTCGCTTCCCCCGGGGCTCCTCTGTAGGGAGCCATGTCCCCCCTCCTGTCAAAAGACCAGCAATGTGAAGGTCCTCAAGGGAAGCCAAGGGACCTGCCCATAGCGTTCTTCTAATTGGAGCAAACCATATGTGCCTTTTGACCCCTTTGCTTGGGGTCAGGGCTGGTCATCATTCTCTTCAGTCTCTACAGCGCCAATGTAAGGAGTTCTGACGGCGCATGTGTGCGGTGTCCAAAAGCCTGGGATTTGAGCAGAGACTGGCCCTTTTTCCGAAGGTTTCTTGGGACTCTGGTTGACTGAATCAAGTGAGGGAGGGGGACATTTGGAGGAACTGCCAGCAAGTGGAATTTGTTCAGAAGTGCTCCAACAATGTCGACAAAGGCCTTTGGCTGGCTTTCTGCAAAGATTCGAATCATGGTTGTGGACATCTGGTTCTAGGCCCAGTTTTTGTGATACCAAGTGATCAAGTAGTTTCCATAACCACGATTCGGATCCCAAATAGGGAAGCTAGGGTGGATGCCCTAAGAATGCACGTAAACCAACCACACTCATCCCCAACACCATGGTACAATTGCGGTAGAAGCTGATCGTCCAATGGTCCAATGATGTTGAATTTGTTGCCAAATTGCCGTAAATCAGGGGCCGGGGGGTTCATTTTTTGCCCTACTTGTAATATTTAGTTGGCATCTACTCACACACGGCTTTGGACGACCCCCCCCCCACCCGAAATACACCAGCCAAGCACACGCGGAAGACTAAAATAGACCAACTGGGATCAGTGTGTTTGGGGGGGCGGGTAGTGTGTTTGGGAGGTGGTAGGAGCTATCGGTGCCTCTAATTTACCATAGTTCGCATTTTCCCATGGTTTTGCGTTTTGTGGTTGGGTGTGCTTGGTTTACTTGCAATATTGCAAACTAGCCCCCCCCCCCAAAAAAAAAAAGAGAAGATATAAAATAAATATATATTAAAAATCCCGATTTTTTTCGCGCGGTTTCCCTTTGGTTTCCCATTGACTCCACGTCGTTTTGCCCGAGCAACGGCTTTGTCGAGGTGATGACCGGGTGCATCGTGAAGCTCCGGGGCTTGGACTCGGCGGAGCTGAACGACCCCTCCGGGTTGCGCGGGCGGACTCGATGGATGGCTCGTTACGTGACCTGTGATAGAAATTCCTGAGTGGAAATGTCCGGACTCCAAAGCCAATAATTAATCGGAGTGTGGTTTTGGGGCGCTTTTAATAGCAAGAGTTCTTGTTGGCAGTTGGTTGCTTCATTTGGGCTCGCGAATCTTCGTGAGCTGAGCACGGAGGTATGACTAAGCTGTTTGAGCAGCGCCAAGACCGACCATTGACCATCTTAGGTGGTTTGTACCACATGGTTTTATGGTGCTGAGGCCTATATGAATCTCGAGTTGGACCCAAAAGTCCGCGGGTTGAAAGGGGCGCTGCTCATTTGGGCTGTTCTCAAAATGGAGTCCCAGCCCTATGGCAACTCTCGGCAACTCTTTTGTCGCTGGTTCTCAAAACAGGAATTGATCTCACGAAACGGCTGGTTTCCCCATAAATAATTGCCAGCCAGAGGGGGGTTTGCCAGATGTAAGAGCACCAACCAACAGGAAACTCACGGGGGTGTCTTTCTTGAGACTCCTCTTTTGTGATAGTTTAGACACCACAGGAAGAACCACAACTTTTGGGTCCCCTATTTTGACACATGCCCGCCCGCGTCTTCACTGTGCTGTGTGTGTGTGTGTGTGTGTGTGTGTGTGTGTGTGTGTGTGTGTGTGTGTGTGTGTGTGGGGGTTCCTGTCTCTTAAACATGGGCGGCTGCAACAGAAGAGACCGCTCTTGCTGGACATACCAAGGGGCGGGCAGATTCCCCTTCCAATCTTAGTCCAGGCCATGTCACAGTGGTCCTTTTAAGACCTCTAAGCAGTCTGCTCCCAAAAAGGGATTCTGGACTGACTCACCAAACAAAAGCCAGTGTGTAAAATCTACCTGTAACAAGACAGGTATTTGCCACTTAGCTCATGGCCATGGTGATTACCCAATCATTAAGTGGTTTGTACTTTTTTTTTCTTTTTCTCCAGCCAATCCCCCCCCACCGCAGGACAGCATCGGGGAGTGTGGGCGGTTAGATGCCCTGGGCCTCAGAACTGCGGCGGACGTGTAGCAAGTGGGCCATGCTCCGGCGGTGAAAACAGGACTTAGTTGGCTTGTAACGGGCATAACTTTAGGGCATCAAACAGACGGAAATTCAGACAAACAACATTCAGAAAACAAACACAAAGTTCACATGAAAGCACAATTCTGAAAACAGACGGTTGGGACGATCGGGATGGTCGGGATGGGGCGGTCAGGATGGTCGGACGGTCAGGATGGTCGGGGGATGGTCGCGGTCTGGATGGTTGGGACGGTCGGGTCAACAAAACCAGCATCGGTCAAATGCCTGTAACTGTAGCATCAGTTTTACCCCCTCTCCACTCGCCGCATCACAAAAGAGCTATTCTGGTTTGGGCCTAGAGTGGGTTTAGGGTGGTTTGTTCAGGGTGGCTTGGGGTCTTGAGGGTTGGTCTTAGGGTTGGTGCAGGGTTGGTTTAGGTTGATTTAGGGTTGGGGTTTAGTTGGGTTAGGGATGGTTCAGGCTGGGATTAGGGCAGATTCTGGCTTAGTGCCGCTGGACAGCTAGGACCAGCTAGTGAAGCTTCCTATCATCGTGGTTCAGGCGGCTTCTAAATAACTTGCGGAATTTTGGTCTTTGTGCTGAAGCCCTGATGCATCCTCAGGCGAGGAAGCAATGTAGCTGCTTGTGCGTTTACCGTGTCACGCAACGTTTGCAGCTTAAAGGTCCTGGGCACATCACTGTGAGACGTTACACTCAGTTGGACACCGAACATGTGATGCCTTTCCAGAGCACTGTAGCACCCCACACTTAGCCATGACAAACACCCTAGCTTCACAGCTCCAGAACCAAACGGGCATCTCTCATGTGGCCCTCTTCTGCGCAAAGGCCGGCATATTTGACTCCAGCCAGTTGGCCTGTCAGCTCTCAGAAAGCCGGCTAGCTGGTTTGCAGTTAGCAAGGTGGCTAGCGCGATAGCTCGCTCGATGCTGAATGACCGGGTTAGCTATTCGACCGGCTTGGTAGCTTGTACGGCTAACAAACGATCTAGCCAGTTCTTGGACTACTCAGGTAGTTACATACACGTAGTCGTTAGTTTGCTTGCTTCTTGCTTGTTTGCGTGTTCGTTTGTTTGTTTGTTTGTTTGTTTGTTTGTTTGTTTGTTTGTTTGTTTAGTTGGTTGATTGGTTGGTTAGTCAGCTTAGTTTGTTAGTGAGGTAGTCAGTCCGTCCGTCCGTCCGTCCGTCAGTCCATCCGTCAATCAGTCAGTCAGTTAGTTACAATCACGAGTGAGAGTGACTGCATGAGTGGGTGGTGAGTCAGTCAGGCAGTAGCCAACCAGTCAGTCAGTCAGTCAGTCAGTCAGTCAGTCAGTCAGTCAGTCAGTCAGTCAGCCAGGCAGTCAGTCAGTCAGTCAGTCAGTCAGTCAGTCAGTCAGTCAGTTAGCTACTTAGTTAGCCAGGAAGTTAGATAGGACGCAACGAGGGACGTTTATGCTAGTCGCTTTTGCTTACACTGCGCTTGGTTGGGCTTTGCTGATAGTTGCACAAGGCAAAGCGAATCGTTCATTGATTGCTTTGCTCAGAGCGATCAGTTCAAGACGAAAAACACCAAAATCCCCCCCCCCCCAAAAAAAAAAAAAAAAATAATAAATAATCAAAAACAAAACAAAAACAAACAACAACAACTAAAGAAAATCCAGAAATAAATCCGCACCCAAACGGTGGAGAAGTGGGCTCGAGTATGCAGAAGGTTGGCGCAATGCCAGCTTCCCCAACGAGCGAAACAAACTTTGAGGTGGAGACCCTGCGCTACGACATCACCTTGTCCGACGGTGGGGATGGATGGTGAGCGGACAAATTGAGGGCCAAAGTTTCTCCAAGAGTTTGATTCCTTCTCGTCAAGTTTTTTGGTTGCATCTTGAACCTTCATCTTTTGGGAGAATGCGTGTTTTGCCGCTAGCTCGAACAGTTTTCAACTCGCCTTTTCCCGGAAGAAGCCATAAGGGTCCCAATTTGAGGGGCGGCGGGGCGGGGGGAGGGGGGGTTGTCTGCGGGGATTTTGGGGCTGTTTCTTGTTTTCTGAGTGCCAGGAGCAAACGGCGGGCATGGGCGGGTTCTATTGGAGCTCAACCAATTACCCTGGTGACTGTTCGAGGTTCGGTCGAAAAATATCCAGTACTCTTTTGTCCATGAGGGACATTGGGGGAGTAGCCAAAACTAGGGGACTTACTAATCATCCCATGTTTTTGGGTTCCACGACTTTATGACCATCTTGGGGAATGGTTGTGAACTGTCCCCACATTTGCGGGCCCTATCCGATTCCTTGTCTCGCAGGGCCTTTGGTCGTGTAGCCCCTTTGGGCGGGCTGGCATCCTGCTTTGGACAGACCCGGGAACCACTCTTCCCAAAATGTGTGATGCTTGCCAGGTTTTGCCCCTCGCAAGCAACCAGGAATTCAATCTCAGATTACCTGCTTCATGAATTGCGAGTCCGGCTTCCCTTAGCTCTACCGGAGGACATGGCCATTGGTCGTTGTTTTAGGACAGACATCCTTCCTTGTCTTATTTGTACAACCAGCCTGTGGGGAACTCCGGTTTGGGCAAAAGAAGTCTGACGGCCAAACAAGTTTCATCTATGCATATCCCTTCTCAGTGCCAGTTTGATCTTGAACGCGTTCCCGCGATCGTTTCGATGGAAACGACACGTAAATCGGTCACCTGAAACTGGCGCACCACGAAATGGCGCCATGGGAATGACACCAGAACGTTTGTTGGTATTTACTGAATGGTGCGCAATGGATGTCGTCCATCAGTAGGGACACCCCAGAGACATCATTCGTAGCTCCATTTTGAAGGGCTCAAGAAGTCGGGAGCCTTTGGCTCGCATTTGGGCGTGTTGAAGCTTGTAGGATGTGGACTTACCAAAACAATGTCGGTTTTTGGCTTCCCTTTAAAGCCACAAGGTGGTAGCAACTCCCAAAAAGATGATTGGCAGACGTGGATCCCCTCCCTGACGGGAGCTTCCGTGTGATCAAGCTCCTGTTTCCCCATGCCTTGTGGTGACGGTGCCAGAACTTGCCATGCCCCGAAGCCACTAGAAGATTGACATGGCGACTGCCTCCAAAGTGGTGAGCCCAGGCTTCGTTTCGCTGGCGAAAGGGAATTGAAACTGAGTTTCCCTCCCGGCGTTTAGCGACAAAAGGAGGTTTGCCGTCTTACCCCAAAAGGTTTGGGCTTCGCCCCGTACCCAACTTTTGGATTACCCCTAAATCAAGGCTGTGGGTTCCTGAAGCTTAAGGAATCTTTGAATTCTCCTGTACGCCACTTTTCCGCAAATGAACATGGAGCCCAAGTACCAAGTGTACCCTAAAATCCGCTAGGCCCACCCGCTTTCAGGTACCAACCGAGGCAGGTATCCGGGGATTGTACTTCGGCGTAGGCTTTGCCGGATAGCTCCTGCTGCCTAAAGTGGCGAAAGCCTCGAAGCAGTGGGTTGCAATCCCCGAGCGGCCAGGTCGCCATGTGAAGGCCAAGCCGGCGAATGTGGCTCAGCTCTTTGGAGAGAGACCTGAACCTGACTGCTCTATGATGTTGCATTCTTTGTGTGGTCAACACATTGCAATATGGTTAGCTTTTCCACCTTTTGGTTGGTTTAAACATCACCTTTGGGCTTCCGATTTCAATTCTACCGTTTCTTTCTGTTGGGGATGACGTTTAATCAGTTTAATCCGAACGTATTGCTGGGCTGCTCGTTGGTTCTTTGGTTCGACCGAGCTCATTTTCTTCTTTTTGGTTGAACAAGACGAAGGTTTCCCCATGAAGAACGCATCAAGCTGAACTTGTCGCAATCACATTACTTTGTGTTTGGGGTGGGGGGTAGAGCGTAGCACCCATGATGTCGTTCCCTTGGCTGGAAGGCCTTGTTTCTGGTTTGCTGGTTGTGGACAACTCAGTGTTTAGGTGGCCACGTTTTGTGAGTGGCCAAGGGTTCTTATTCTCTTGAAAGTGATAGACTTGCGCACATGTTTTGCCACAGCAGGACCCAGAGCTACATGACCACGTTTAAGTGGCAGGTTCAGTTTTGCCTGCAGGTCCAAGGGAGACCAGCCCAGAGCTACAGTGAAAATCGCCTCGGCTGGTCCCTGGGTCTTCACCATTTTTGGGCAGAACCCTGTATAGGCCATGACTTTGAGTCTGGGCATGAGCATTTTTTGTGTAGTCCAGTTTTGGAATAGCCCACAACTTGTCATTTTCCCACAAGGAAGCCAAAATAGTTTTTCAGGCCCCTTGACATCTGAACGACCAGTTATTTTTCGACTGACTCAGGTGGAGCTGGTGGCAAAGTTCGAGTCTGCCAAGGCATGCAGGGGGAGAGCGAGAGGCAGAGGATTTGAGAGAGGCACGGCTGTGGTACATGGCGGGCTTCCAGAACGGGTGGTGTCCTTCCGGATTTTCCTTTCACACCTTTCCAAACGGGGTGTCCCCGAAAAAGGGGAACACCCATCTGGGCGAGACGACTTCAGGCGTATCCGCCTGGGGGGAATGAACCGCAGGACCCTGCTGACCACTCTTCCACAAACTGCTCCAACCGTATTTAGGTTTGACCTCATGTTTGCCTTGTTTCGTTCTCACAAGGCTTGCTAACCCCCCTGACCCGCAGTCTTTGCAAAAGGGGGGTTGTCTCAATAAGCCAAGTCCTTGGAAGACCACAACATAGGCAAAACAAGGCGAACATAAGGCAAGAGAAGGCAGGACAAGGCCAAAACAGGGGCAACATCCGGGGACTAAGGCAAAACAAGTTGGGCAAGTCAACAGGCCAAGCAAGTGGTTGGAGGTTCCATCGATCGAGGTGGCAGGAGACACGGAACAGCTGCAGCGCATCCGGGCGGCCAATGGCCTCAGGGAGCGGTTCCGATCTTTTTGCGACCGATCAACTGGGGGGGGGGCTGAAGGAGCCTTGTGGATGGACCATATCCACTTCGCACCAGTTGGAGTTGGCGGTTTCTCCTTGGAATTGGCGGGTTTATCAACCAGTAGGGCTGCATCCATCTGGGGCGAGGTGGTTTTTGTCCATCGTATGGGAGCCCCGGATGAACCAGCTTTCTGGTTGATTTTGAACGGGGGAGCTCCCCGTTTTAGTGGCGGGTTCAGGCCACTTTTGGAGAGGAACCCCCCTATATCCCCCTATTGACAAAGCCGTGTAACTAATTCGGGGTTCCCGTTAGACCGAATAGGTCAAGAAGGCCGTGTTGACTTCAATGAACTTTGTCTCTGGCATAAGAACCCAGAGGCTCATCCCTTTGCATGGGAGGATTGGAACCTCTTCAAAGCATAGGTGGGCCAACAAATAGCTCCGTTTTTGAAAGGCCCAAAGTATTGGGTTCTCCACTTTCTGTGATTCCAAGGACTTGAACCCCTGAAGGACGAGGTAGTCATGGGAATCAACCACTTTGGTATCACAGAAAGGATCATTTTCGACAACAGTGGGTCAAACTGGGTCAGAGTTCCGACATAAAGCCATTTGAATTTTCTCGCCTGAGGTTTCATACCTTTGATAACGTCTTTATGAATTGATTGTATCCTTCTTTTCCATACATGACGTGAGTGTTTCTGATTTTCTCACATGTTTGGTTCGAATGATGTGTTGCAGTACGAATGACGGGTTCATTTTTGGCACGCCTTCTGGAAAGGCCGGGCGAAAGTTGGTTGCTTCGGTTTGCTGATGTTCTCAGGTCCGGAACCCCGGGAACCAAAAGGGGCTTCACGTCTTACCCACCCGGGGGGGAGATCAAGCATTGCAGTCTCGCAATTGAAGAGTTTCCCCTGAATGGTCTTGCTTTTCGCAGGTGACATCCGGCCCGATCCGGGGAAAGGCTACGTAAGAAACCAATTCAAACGAAATTTCGGGCACCTGGGTGCGTGCCCCAAACATTTACGCCCTGACAATACCCATACTTTTACCCCTGTACATTCTGTCTATGACTCTTCTCTACCCCCGCTACCACATTTTTCGGTTGGTACGCCAATTCAAAGGGAACTTGTTTGGAGGAGCTGTGGATGGACGAAATCCATTCCGCGCCGCCCAAGAAGCCCTGGAAGCCGATTTTCCAGTGATGATCCCCCCCTGTAAATACCAACAACATGTTCTGGTTTCCTTCCCATGGTATTTACAGGGGGATCGAAGCGGATGGTTACTCCCCCCACCGTGGTTGCCTTCCCATGGTTTCCGATTTGGTGCGAAGCGGATGACGCGTCCATCCACAGGATCGCCTCACGGCCGTGGAGGAGTTCGAGTTCCCCTCGCCGATGGTCTCAGCCTCAAGTTGTGCAGCCGTAGATCCCAAAGGGACCTGGGGGGACGAAGTGCAGAAATGGAGATCACTTTATAGGGTTCACTGTATTTTGTTTGGTTTTCAAGCACCGTTTGTTTTGGTGGCCAGTTTGAGGTGAGTTTCCATTGATGTCAAAGGAGATGGAAAGACAGCAACCATGGACAGTACCTGACGTGGGACGGTCCAAGTCAAAGGGGACGAAATTGAGGCTGACCATCACCAAGCTAGGCCCCCTGAAGAAATCCTTACGTGTTCCCATTTGCAGCCAGAATGCCGATCTATTTTCTACTAAGGGATCAGCATACCTTTTGAACAAAAATAGTTCTTCACCCTCCACTGTTTGGTTGTTCTTTTTCGGACCTGCATTCTCGAGGAGGATCCCTGTGTGAACCAGGTAATTTTGACCTCAGGGTCAACATCGCCGGAAGAATGGGCACAAAGCAACAACACACAAAGCGAACCACCCACCATTGTAGTGTGTGCGTCTCTTATGTTGCATTGATGATATCTCTGTGTCTGTTATGTGTGCGGGGTGTGTCTCTGATCAGTGCATTGGAGACATTGACGAGGGACCTTTCGCACACATGGACCGATTGAACAACAAATGAGCAGTGCAGAACAACAAGCTTTGGCATGTGTATGGGGACGCACGAGGTCCGAACAATGTAAACAACTTCACACATCAATGCAACGTTGGTTCATTGTTCGATTGGATCAAGCCCCGGGTGCCCTGTAATATGTGCACATCTCCGCTATGCTGAGCCTGCCTGACAGGCAGACATTAGAAGTAGGCGTCCTCCCAAGCTTCAAAAGAGTCGAAGCCTTCCCCTCTTCAGGGAGCGCAAACCCTGTGGCTGATCGTACTCCGAATAGTCATCATCGTCACCATCATCACGCCGTGACCACCTAGTCACTGAAGACGGGGCTGGGCTGCCACACATGTTGCTATTTGCTCAAACACCACTGACACGGGAGAGGGGCTGCTTGCGTTGACGAAACTTGTGGTAAAAGTGCGCCTTCCCAACCAGTTGGTAAGATCAAGGGATCTGCTGCTCGTCTTGGGGGGCCATGAGATAGTGAGGGCATTGGTCGGTTCTGCATCCTGTGCATGTTTATGTGGGCAGAGTGTACAGCTAAGACCCGATCATCGAAAAAGCACCATACCACACAGAGACTTTCTGGGTAGGAAGTTGCACAGAACACTACGCAAAGTCGGGACAGTCCCCAAACCCGCTTCAGTTTTAAGGCTTTATGAGGCACACTTGGTGTCCGGAAGCGGCCATTGTTTCGACTCTGTAGCAAGTGTTGGAGGCCGGACCAAGGTGCTGATCTGCTTTTTCTGAGTAGGAAGTTATGCAAACCTGCAAAGCAGGGACAGTCGTAACCCAGAAAGCGGTGGTCAATTGCCGTGATCCTTTGGCTCACGTAGTGCCGGGACGCCTCGGAAGCCAACAGCTCGTGGCATCGCATCGCCTTGTCGGGTTCCGAAAACAGGTGCTGCCGGCCAGCGCTCTAGAGGCGTCGCGGAACTCTTTTGCCGCTTTTTTTTGGGGGAGGGGGGCAGGGCCATGAACAAATCGATCAAAGAAGTGTGCTCTTTTTCTCCTATCAGTGAGGTCTGGGTATCACATCTTGCTCTTATGAGGAACCCTTGGGCTTTGACAGGCGCTTCCTCTCAGGGTTTCGGTTTCGTATTTTCCGGTTGCATGGGGCCTGAGTCTGACTTGTTAGGTCACCCCCTCATGACTTACCCTGGGGCTTGCTCCAAATTCATGTTATTCATGTTATAGGGCTGCCTAAATATGGACCAGACTCTGAAGGAGGGTGGATACGACAACCATCCCTGCTGGGGAAGACTAAGATAAACCCAAAGCTGGAGGTGTTTGGCGTATTTGGCAGGTGGTATGAGCAGTTTTGTGATTGTTTCCGAGGATCTTCTCACTGGCACTTTGCCGCTTTTTGGAGAATGTTCGAGTTTTCCTGGGGTCTTTCTTGGTTGATCCTTCAGCAAGAAGGAGAGGGAGTTGACGAGTTTCCCTTGGAAAGCCAGGCTCTTCCAGTGGCCACCACAAGCAACCAGAGTTTGAGGGCGCCCTTTTTGCGGTGTATAGTTCTAACAGGACTCCTAAAGGGCAGCCAAGCTCAAAGGCCAAGAATTTGATGCTCCGCGACTCCGCGCCAGGAGTATGCCACGAAGTTCCCCAAAGCCGTGAACGCCCCAGAGGAACGATTGCCCTGCCGGGGAGGTGTCCCAGGTCCGAGTTTCAAGCGCTGAAGTTGGTGGATGTTGGCAGTCTCTTTAGGGATCGGGTCTTAATGACTTTGCGGGTCTTCACCAATCTGCTTCCACTTCTTTTCTTTTCGTCTCGGGCTTGTTGCTAGCACCTCCTGTCTTTGGGATCGGGTCCTAATGACTTTCTGGGTGTGGACCAACCCCATCTACACCTTTTGCGCCTAAAGTTTTCTGCTGGGACCTGTTTTGGGATTGGGCCCCAATGATTGGGTCCCAATGTCAAATTAGTGAGTCTATACATATGTGAAACGTAGTTTGTTATATAGGTGATATAATCTATGTGATGCAGTGTCTATTTAAGCCCGAAGCCTGCCGAGAGATTGCCTCTCAAGTTTGGGCTACTCTCAGGCAGGAAGTAAGTAATTCAGGACAGGTTGATATGTAAGGCTGTTAATCGCCCATAGCTCCACACAATGTCGACCATGGTCATGTCTTGCTTCACGGGAACGCGAGCATCGATAGTGGAACATCCTTATTCGGGGGTTGATACCCAACGTTGTTCTGTGCCTTTAGTACACTATTGCCCAAGAAGTTGGGAAGCATCTTGTTTTCGAAGCCAGCCTTGGGGGTCCTTTTGCCAAAGCACGAGTCCTTCTGAATTTGCTGGTAGCAGCTCGGGGGAACTGTGAAGAAGTTTGAGGACGCGCCATCCCAGCAGCCAGTCTTTTTGTTGGGCGGCGACTCCAGGCCCGCTTTAAGCAAGGGACACTGCATTGGCTTTCTGTTGCCCTAAACGGCTCTTGGCGCCCCGAAACTTTGAGAAAGTTTGAATCAAGATACCCTAGAAACCTAGGCAAGGGTTCCGACTAAGAAACCAGGACAATGGGCGTCATGAGTGAAGTGCGGCTCATCGGGGCTTCTCAAAACATATGCGCTTTTTGCATTTTCAAAGCATGAAGCCTCTTCCACCACGCCAAAAGCAAGCCACCATTTTTTGGATGGGTGATGTTCAGGTGGATGCCACAAGACCTCCGTGAGTGGCAGTATTTGGATGGATTTCGTAGAGACCCCCTGCTCATTCAGAACGATTCTAGTGGTCCCTTCCGCGCTCATTGCAGGGACCCAAGTCTGCAGAAAACAATCAAGCGAAAGTTTGCGAAAAGAACTGTGGACACGAATGGACAAGGAAGCAACCCAATGACATTTGACCTTGTTTGGCCTTAGTTGGCCTTGAGGCGTTTTTGGAGGCCCAAATTTTCTTTAGTATCTTTGGGGGGAACTCCACCCAAAAATCTATTGAAGAATGATATGGAGGGGTGGTTTACCAACAGGCCGTTGTGGCATAGGAGTGGCCATTTGTGGCATATGGAAGGTTGGAGCCCTGGCCCATTGGAGCCCCGGAGTCGACCGAGTCGTCTCGGGCGACTTCCCACCGGCCGACGGCCCGGACGGCTGAGGTGGTCATCGGCCGCTCCAACGCGGCGAATCCCAAGGGCGCCCAGAGCCTGGCGCGGGAGGCGGTCAGCCGAGAGAGACGGGCGAACGCTTTCTGGGAGGTGCAAAGGTGAACGAGAAGGCAAACCACCCATTTTGAGACTCCCCCTGTTTTGACACACACTCACACACATGTGCCTGTATAGGTAGCTTGGGCACCCTGCAACAACGAGGAGCATAACGAAAGGTTACCCTCTTGCCAAAGATCATGAATGAAGTAGAAAAAAACAGGGTACGGCGGTGCTTGTCTGACCAACAAACAAAGCCACCAACTGACCAAACCCACCATCGACCTACCGACCAACCGACCGAATGACCAACCAAGCAGCTGCGGATATTGACCACTTCCCAAGCGGTACGCTTCTAAGCTCTGTGATGAAGCTCTGCGAGGCAAGAGAATGAAGATTGCCACCGCGTGTGTACGTACATTCAGGGGTCCCCAGGTTTCCCCTTTCAGCCTGTTTAGCCATGAGCCTTTGGGCTTTTTTTGGACGAGGTTCCTCCTGGCGGTGATGTTCAAGGGGGAATTGTATGGAGAAATGGTTTGGTGGCCCTCCCCACCAGGTTAAGAAAGCAGTTGGCAAGTTGGATGGGCCAAGTTGGTTTGGTCAAATAAGGCCAACTAAGTAAGATCTTACAGTCTTACGGTCTTACGGTCGTACGGTCTTACGGTCTTATCGGTTGTCCAATTTGTACTGGTGCATGCCTAGTTGTTTGAAGTAGATCGGCGAGGGAAAGCATCATCCTACACTTGGCTGATCTTTGGCGTGAGCGCATCGCCCTTCGACCTGGTGGAAACGAGTGGCTTTACCATACCTACAAAAGGTGATCGCCCTTTTGCGGGGGTTGGAGCAACCCAGAAAGCATCAGCAACGATGGGCCCCTGCCCTGAATGTGCTTCTCTTCTGAGCAAGCAATAGGCCAATAGGCTCAGGAAACTTTGCTTTAGCCGGGGCGAGGTGGTCGGCGCTGGCAAGATCCCTCCGGGCTCGCGGTTGGTCTTTATCTCCATGCCCAGAGACAGGCCTTCCTCGGGCCGGAGGGAAGGAGGCAACTGGTTGCTGCTTGAGGGGTTTTTGATGCTTTGGGGGTGGGAGCACTCTTTCAGCATTCTGGGGTGTATTGAGGATGTGACGTTAACGAACGTAAAGGAATGAGACACCAAATGCTGAGCTCATTTTGGCTAGTACGACCGACTGGCTGGCACCCCAGCTGCTGTACAGGTATAAATGGAATCACCGGGTCTGTTGGACAAGAGTTTTCAAAGACAGATGTTCTTGGTCCCTTCGACCAACCAAAAGGGTGATGTTGATGACCGTACGCAAAGGGCCTAGGCGTTGTCGTCAATCCTTTTGGGATGTTGGACCGGAATTGCAATGACTCTGGTCAGTGAGCGGAAGCCAAAGGTGCCCGGTTTCCATAAGGAACCCTTCCAAGACCCCCAAGCCCTGACCGATCGGCTGCCTTAAATGGCAATGTACTGGGCAGCTTGTTTTGCCAAAAGGGTCAAAGTCGTTTGAGCCTTCAAGGGCCTCAAAAGCCACCACTTTTGAGCACTCCCAAAGCATAGTCGAACCGGACTCTTAGCGTAGGTGTGTGACATCTTGATTTTGTGGTAGCCCCGGCAACAGATACATCCACTTTCAAACAAGCATGATGAAAAGGTCCGTCTCGGAAGAGGAGCCCGGTTCGCCTTCGAGCGCGCACAGTTGTTCAGGATTTGCCCGAGAAAAAGGGCCGAGTATCTCAAGCAGAAGCGAACACTGCCGAGATGGGATCGCGTCAAAGCGGGGGACTTTTCCAGAATGGATGGTTTGTTTGTTGTTTCTCCCTAAAACAACAAACAGTGCGCCACATACTGTGGATTGACGAAATCCTGCACCACCGCAAAAACCCTGGAATGTTGATTCCCCTGTAAATACCAACCATCAATGGTTTGTCATGGTTTCCAAGTGCCACAGTAAAACACTAAACAACGCAAGCTTCTTCCGGCTGGCGTTCAGGTGTGTCGCTCCTCAGCTGGCACGGTGGCCCATGTTGGATGGGGTCTGCTTTAGCACCCCCCCTGAACAGTGCCGTCAAAGGGGCCTCTTTGGTGAGAACAGTGCGGTGTGTGTGTGTGTGTGTGTGGGTTGGACCAATACTTAACTTAGAACTGCAAATGCTTTTGCTCGGAGTTGCCAAGACTTACTTTGAGCTTCCCTCTAAACTTATTATTGCCAAGACTCCATCTTAGATTCCCAGTATTTGATTTACCATTGCCAAGTCTAAATGTAGTATTGCCAATACTTACTCCTATGAATTGTTTCAAAGTAATTGCTAAGGCTTTGATCTTGGATTTTTACACCCACCCAAAACATGCTTGACATTAAAGGGACCCTCGACACAGTCGCATTAAAGCGGATCCAAGGCTCTTGTGGGGTAGCCCTGTTGTGTGAGTGTCTGCCTTGTGTTTTTTTCCATACGGGATTACATAAAATCCATAAAACAAAAAAGAACATAATTCCTAAATGAAAGTAAGGCCTTTAGCGGGAAGTGCTTAGGTAAAACACCATTTTCAAGTAAAGGCTAGTGGATGTTTTTGTTTGGAACAACATCTTTGAAATTAAGCGACTTCGAAGCAGTCATAGGATTGTGAATTAGAAACATGACTGTTAAATCAAACCGACTGCGAACATCAACACGGCCACCACAGTATTGGTTCATAGTGGATCCAATCTGGGCGGAGGTTTGAGTTGAAAGGACAGATGCCAAATCCGACCTCCCACCCAAAGATTGTTTTGGGGGTGCCTCTGGTTTACTTACGCACACTGTGGTGTGAGAATGGGAAACTTGGATTGTGCGTTGGATTTGCGCCTGGCGTCCTGCAAACACTATGCACACTCAGTCCAGAGCCCAAAGGACTTGCACCTTCAACCTCCACTCCGGACTTCGAATGGCACGCTGCCATTGCGCCACAGCTCCATCGGTCCTTCAGAGCAGCTCCGGTTTCAAATGTTCGCTTTTCACCAGGGGTGGGTCTGTGCAGTGCTGGCTCGAGCACACAACTTTGCCTGGCCTTCAGCGCAAGCGCCATGACCGCCTCCGCTAGAGCGGCGGCTCGGTCTGACATTTCAGCTGCCCACTTTTAGTGGTCAATAGCCCCAGAGAACAAGCGGCCTTGAGAGATGCGATCCACTTGCGAAAAGCGGGGGTCATCCAAGTACTTAGGACTGATTCAAAGGGACGTTCAAGGGCACTATATATATATATATTGTTGTGTTGGCAGGGGGGCGGGGGGGGGGGGCGTTCCATTTGAGTTCCGGGCGTTCCATTTGAGTTCCTCTCCTTGGACGCATTGAGGTGGAAGACAGCGGCGCCGGCTTCGGGCCGCCCATGACAGGCCTGTTGCCGCTTTTTACGGCCCCTCGGCATTGGGTTTGGGTCTAGTTTTAGAGGTACTTGCCAGCCACGCCATCCAAAAAGAACATGCGTCTGTTCAACAGCAAGGGAATACAATAACAAGCAGGACACAACGAAGAAAACACAGCACAGTCAAGTCATGCCTTCCCCCGACCCCTTTACTCCAAATACCTTTGATGCTACCCCTCACCCTCCCCCCTCCCCTCCCCCCCTTCCCTTCCCCCCCGCCCAAGTCATGTTTTTCGGGGCTGCCCAAAAAGTACCCTATGAGGATGCTTTTAGATTCCAAAAGTTCCTCCCACAAATCAAAGACACGACTCCCCTAGTTCAGGAGTTCACAATGCCAAGCAAGCATCCACATCAGTCACGCCTGGGGGGGGGCTGGCCAGCCACTGAGATGCTGGGGGTGCTGACGCTGGCGGCGTGGAACTTCTACTTGACCGCCGTAGGCTTCTTCGAGCCACGCGGCCGAGGGCATAAGCCGAGGGGCTCCTTTTGAGGGCACCTGTTTTTGGAAAACTATAGGGACAACCACCCTTTGGGGGGTATCCTACAAAGGGCGAGGGGAAGTTTGGACCTAGCACCATTTTGGTCCACTGAGTGGTGCCTGCTTTTTCCAATTGATTTTGGGAGGGGCTTGAGCTTTTAAATCAAGCAGCAACAAACAAAATTGCCCCCTCACTACCAGAAAATGGACCCCCAAAAGCGGGTTGGTTTCCTTGTGGTTTTTCTTTTTGGAGAGTCCCTAAGGCCCCAGCAAGAAGGCCTTGCTAAGCCTTAAGGCTTAGTGAGTCCTAGTACTGAACCAGGGGGTTGTCGAGAACAGAGGCCCTGGTGCAAACCGGAGCTGGCCATGTTGACAACCGCCCCCCGGACCCCGAGGATGTGGTTCCCCGGCATGCAGTGGGCCTTCATCGCCTCTATGACCTACCAGGTGAATCCATGCGCGCATGAGACATTTTTTGGGGGTGCTTGCCTGGCCAGATGAGTCACTTTGCTGTGCCTTGGCTGGTTTCCATGAAACCGTTTCCCAGTTTTGGAGAACGGCCCTCAGGACTTCTCTAAATTGGTGAACCAATCTAGGACTCTGATTTTCAACCAGGTTACTTTGTTTCACCAATTTAGGTTCATCCCAAGCCCTTTTGAGAACTTCTCTGACGGCACGGAGAGGGGAAGGTTTTTGTGGGTACTCCCTAAGACTTTTGGTCGTTGGGCTTTGGGGGCATGGGGGACGTGAATTTCAGCCACAAAAGCCACATGGACAGAACAGGTTTTTCCCGCAACTTTCGCATATTTTGACTGCAGCCCATATGGTCAGGGATTTCTGGTGATTCTCCTTTTGAGAAACAGTTTTTGGTGTGATTTTTTGGTTTCTGGTTGTTTTTGTCCTTTTCATTCCTTTTAACCGGGGGCAGCAGTCCATCAGTACTGAAACCAAACGAAGTTGCGAAGGTCGCCGATTCCTAAAACCTGAGCCACTTTGGCGAGTACCTGTCAATACTTCACTACGAAAGACTGTTCTAGCACCATGCCATAAATGACCCAAGAAGAGTAATAATGCAAAGGCAGCTGGTATTTCGCGAGCAATTCTTTCAGTACCAACTTTTGTTTGTTTTACCATCAAGTTTATTCTCCGACATGAATCGACATAAATGTATTTTCATAAACTAAGATATCATTCATAGCAACAGCATCTTCAAAGTTATCTCACCACCTTTGCTGCTCGTTGGCGAATGATCTGAACAGCTTTTTCAATATCTGGGAAATGCCATATGTTTCCACAATCCTTTCTGGAAGCAACCGGAGAACAGGGTCAAATGTGATCCTCTACATAGTTTGGGATAGACTCCCTGAATACCGGCTCTTGGTTGCAACTCCTTGTTTAGGATTTGGTACCCTGTTGCAAGGTCGTTTTTTGAACCTTTTGAGAAACTCGACATTTTTTCGCGAGCTTTTTCGACCAGGGGCAACAGCCACCAAGAGAAGGACCAGCTTTCGAAGTGAGCCTTCGTCGAATGGCAGGCCACGAACGTGGTGGGCACATCGCTCATGGTGAAATTTGGCCAGCGCCTGCCTTTTCGCTTTACCTATTGCGCGTCTCTGGCGATGCAGATGGCTTCTCGGCCAAAGGCTTAAAGGTTGGAGCCTGGCCGTTGCTCGGATTCCTTCTCGGTTTCCCTTTGCTCGCGGTCAATTCCACAAAGCCCTTCTTGGCGGGCTTTCGGGGGAACCCTGTTTTTGCGGCTGAATACCCGTACGTCACGAGAGGTAGGCATTGCATATTTTTGGCACTTGGAAGATTGTACATATATATAATGTTTGAGCCACCGAATACATTTTTTTTACATGTTGTTTATATGTTAGATTGCAAGACACAAACATGTCCATTTCGGATATAAACAAGCACAACACATGCATTCACAGATAAATGAGTCGCATGTCAATTCCAATGCTTTTCACTACGTATTTCCATCAATATTATACAACATATGTTTGTGACATGTTTTATTATTATTGTGATTAGTGCTATTATGGTATTATTCTTAGTCTTCTTATTATGTATTTGTTTGTATATACATGTAAACATATAAACCATACATTAGCTCATTTATACTATCCTGAATACTTGGTATCGGCTCGGAAGTTTTAAATGGGACGCCGAGGAAGCCGCTCCTTTCGAGGCTTATCATATTTGTTGGTTGCTTTCAATGGAAGCCTCGGCGCAATTTGTTGTATTCATATAGCTGTTTTCTCCTGGTGCCCTGCTTGATTGGTCAACACCATTTGAAAGGGTTCTCTTGGTTTTCCCCTGTTGGGCACTTGCAACATTGCCTTCAAGGCCCATTTTGACTGAGTTTTGTGCAGGAGAACGATGTTTAAGGACGTTTACATAGGGACGTGATACGAGGCCTGAAATGCCCCACCCCAAAATTGTTGCCCGTTTGGAACAGGGGATCCATACATCTGCTTTGTTGGCTCTATTTGATATGTGAACCTTCAGAACTTTTCGACCTTGAGAAGTGTTTCTCTACACAAATGGAACATATGTGCAAGGCCAAAAGACTGAACCCACGTCGTGGTTTCTTGGAGTTGGTACAGATGGTCTTGAACCCTTTACTAGGGCTTTAGACCATTCAAAGAACCTATAAAGGGAACCATGACCGCCATAAGGACTCTTGACTACGGAGTATAGGATTCCTAACATCGAACATTACTCTTTTGGGTACCTCACTGTACCAATGTTGGTGCTAAGGCAAGCGCATATCAGACCATGAGCTATGTTTCTGGACGCCCTAAGGTTCTAAGGGTTGTTGTAGTACACCCTGGGACTACACCCTTGGGAAATGGCCCAAAATGGTCCAAAATAGCATGGACTTAGCCCGGAAATATGCCATAGGGTCAAAACCCTTAGAAAGGTGACCTTTGCCAAATAGTTGTTAGGCAACAGTACATGGCCCCCCCCCGTTTGGGTTCCATCATGCCGCTTAGCGACAAACATTTGGCATTGGCCCATCTACTTTCACCCTGGCGTACCCGTTCAATTACGGTGGGCCATGGGGATGCATGGTTGTGGAAAATTGGGTTTTGGGGCGCCTTGCTCAGATACCAAAGCAATCCCTTCGCCTTGGAAAGGAACGGAAACGAGAGGAGGGTGAGGCCAACGTTTGCAACCGCTGGAAAGATTCATCTCCCTTTTTTCCTTTCTCCGTCATTCCTCTCCCATAATTACTCGAGAGTGGAATGAATGACAAAGAGAAAGAGCTGGAGCGGTGAATTCATTCAATCGCCGTCACTCACTCACGGACAGACCTCTCCAGATGAGATGAGTGGGAGAGATGGACGATCATAAAGGATTCTCATTCAATTGTGGAACACAGAACGGGAAATCACATCATCCATCTCATCATCTCTATTGTCTATAAAGTGATAAAGTAGTCATGAGAATGGCCCTTTTTGGCATCACAGAAGGGTATGGGATTGAGGGAATCTCAACAAACGGTCCTAACACAACACTAATTACCCCACCACCTGCGTGGTCGGGGGCCGTCTGCAGTTGGTCAGGCCATGATCCTATTAATGCCGATGCTCGCATTCTGGACCCCGCTGGAGGTCGCCCGCCGGTTTGGCTCGGTCAGTTGGACCAACTCCGACGCCAGTCCTTGGGGGCTCTTTGGGGATCCAAGTGGCAGACAAGGTGCAGCATACCGGGTGTCACTTCCGACACGGAAATGGTCTGTTTCCACTCCGAAAGGCGGTCTTTGGGTGACCCAGCTCCCCGATGGCGGGTCAGTTGGACTAAGTCAGATTCCGTTTACTTCGACCCGCGTGGTTTTCAAGGGAAATGGTCCTGAACTTGGGTTTTCTTGGTGGCTTGCGGGCCGTTGTTTTCAAACGAGGACATGGATGACCAGAGATTCAAACGGATGGCAAAACTGGCGCGGGTCTTTGCCTTTGCCAGGCCCATGGCGATGAGGTGACACCCTCCCATTGGGGCTTCGCGCTGGCCCTGAGCTGCTGCGCAGCGCCTTGGGCGCGGTCGAAGCGGTGGGAAGTGTTGGTGAGCTTGGTGTGGGCTGCGGGGGCTGGTTTCGGGTGCTTCTGGTTGATTCCTTTCCTTTCTGCCTTGTTTGTGTCCGTTTTGGTGTTGTTGCTTTGTTTGTCTTGGGTTTATTGTTCTTCCGTTTCTTGGGAGTGTTCTTGAGTTGCGGGGTTGCTAGGTGTTTGTTTCGGTCTCTACCTTGCCATAAAACATATGCATCTGAGCAAATTATGGTACTAGAGGCTCCGTTAGTTCCAATTGTCATTCGCCCAAATACCTGAAAATATCCTTGGTTCCCCTCCTCTTTCAGGGGGTCCCTATACTTGTCCTTTATATTTTTACGCGTCACCTTTGGGGCCTCAAGGTGAGCCATTAACTTCAAGC